ATTTCTGAGGTTTTTCACTCACCGGGTCCAGGATGAGACCAAGAGCCCATGATTTTGTCAAGCGTTCCAGTCAATTCTCCTGGTCACTACTCAAAACACATGAACAAAGTGGCACAGACACAAGCCAGGGCAGGGCAGGCTGCACTGTGGGTTGGCAGCAGTTACCCTTAACCAAGGTATTTGCTTGGTTAATAAATGGCTGCATGCACCCCACTTCTTTGAAACATGCACCTGTGTTTGCTGGACAAACCACTGGTTCATAGTTGGGGACACTGTCCACTCCCCACACAGTGGCCACCAGAGTTGTGAGCATCCTTTCCCGGATGGTCCACTGTCCTGATCTCCTCCACTCTGCCCAGCAGCCCATCAGCCCCTCAGGATTACCAGGACTACATCATTTCACAAAATCCACTTCCCGACATCTCCAGCCCAGGTCCTCTGACAAAATCCAATCCCTTTTCAGTTAATGGAAAAACCCTGAGCTTTGGCAGGCTCCAAAGCACAGATCAGTTACATAATGACAAACAAATAGCCTTCCAGGTTAAAAGCTCTGCTGTGACACAGAGGGCAAGCCCAGGGACTGACTGTGACCCCTGGCACTGGTGCCCCTCTGACAGCCACAGAGAAGGGAGAATGGCTGGCACCAGCAGGAAGATTTGAGAGATGTGAACACTGGGCCCTTAGCTGATACCTCAAGTCCCCATCTTCTGGCTTGGACTTGGCTAAAGTGATGCCATCAGAGCTGTAAGACTCTGAAGAGTGTCCTGCAGGCACAAGGCCCTCCAATTCCAGGAGACTGGGCCTAGAGTGTCACAAGCTGTGGTAGCTGTTTTCATTCTTGACACAGGAGGGAAATTGTGATTTTACTTGCTGTGCCTCTACTTCTGCAGACATCATTCAAACCCGAAGTTCCCACCTTGAGGCAAAGGTATATTTGTCATTCTAATTTACCCAGACTGGTTTCTGTAGAATTCAGAAATAGCTGGTAAATATTTAGCCCATAGTTAGTTTGGACAGAATTTCGAGGCAACAAAAACTGAAAACAGGGCCAGGCACGGTGGCTCACGCCTGTAATCCCACTACTTGGAGAGGCCAAGGTGGGGGGATCTTTTGGTTTCAGGAGTTCGAGACCAACCTGGACAACATAGTGAAATCTCATATCTACAAAATACTAAAAGTAGCTGGGCGTGGTGGTGTATGCCTGTAATCCCAGCTCCTCAGGAGGCCGAGGTGGGAGGATCACTTGAGCCCAAAATGTTGAGGTTACATGGATGTTGAACAACGAGAACACATGGACACAGGGAGGGGAACATCACACACTGGGGCCTGCTGGGGGCTGGGGGACTAGGGGAGGGATAGCAGGGGGCACAGGGTGGGGGGAATGGGGAGGGATAATGTTAGGAGAAATACCTAATGTAGATGGGTGGGGATGGATGCAGCAAACCACCAAGACACATGTATACCTATGTAACAAACCTGCACGTTCTGCGCATGTACCCCGGAACTTAAAGTATAATTAAAAAAAAAGTCGAGGTTGCAGTGAGCTGTGATCATGCCACAGCACTTCAACCTGGGTGCCAGAGTAAGACCGTGTCTTGAAACAAAACAAAACATATACAAAAAAACAACTGAAAACAGTTCTCAGATCCTGCAGCTTTGCCCATGAATTGGGTCCTACAATCTGGACTTGTGTGTGACAATTGATTCATTAAGCTTTAGAAGAAAGAAGTCTTTAGTGACCTATTTACAGGTAGGGAAACTGAGGCCCAGGAAACCGACCTGCTACTCAGTACATTAGTCAGGGAGCTAACTTGAAACCCCTGTGTCCTGCTCCCCAAATCTGAACTTCCCACCCACCAAGCCATCTCTCTTTCAGCCCTAACATAGTGCACAAAGACCTAGTCCTTCTTCTCCCCTGGACATGGCCCAAAGGCAGAGCCCAGGCTGCACAGAGTTCTGAACACCAGCTTCCCTTCCAGGAATGCTCTGAGCATGGTCTTCAGGTTCTTACTCCATGCAAGAGGCAGCAAAGGAAGATTGCAGCTAGGACTGCAGCTAGGAGGAGACTGCCAGCTACACGGTCCGAAAACCAACATGGGAAATGAATGGCAGAGACATCTACTCCATTAGAACAAAGAGCGGGGCTCAAGAGGTTCCTCACAGTCACCCCCACTCCTGCAGTCTCAGGGGAATGAGCTGCCTGGGGCTCCTCTGGCCTGTCCTTGGAGTGTGTGGCTTCATTGGGTCCCCTGTGCAAGAGATGTCAATCATTGTCTGTCCCTTAGTAAAGGAAGCTGTGTGCCCTCAGCCCTTCAGACAGAGAAAGAGGGAGAGAGAAGGGAAGGAGAGAAGTAGAGAAGGAAGGGAGGGAGGAAGGAAAAAAGGAAGGGAGAGAAGGAAGGAGGGAGGAAAGAAGGAAGAGAGAGAGGGGGGAAGGAAGGATGGGCAGGAGGGAGGGAGAATGTTTGGAGGGTCATCTTAAATCCAACATTTTCCTCTTTGCCAGGTCCTAGAAGGCCTGGATGAGCTGCAGTTTCTACCTTTGGACTTTTCTGAGAATCCTATATCTTTTTTAAAAATTGTTTTTCTTGGCATCTTTCTTGCAGAAAGAGAATCCTGTATCTTCAGATTAACTCCACCTTCTCCCCACTAACTCACACCAGGCTCCCATTGCCTGCAAATAAGAACTGAGAAACAAATTCAGAGAGTCAGTCTGTCTCAATTCCAGACTGAAGGAAGAATAGTGTGGCAGCAGATACATTTAGAGAGAGGGGCTCAAGGAGAGAACAAAGCCCGACCCATCCAGAAGCACTGACCATGGCAATCTTCCTTACTGTCTTCAAATAGAAATAGAATTTCTATTTCCAAATAGAAATAGGAGTCTACATGCCCTGCCAGGTGAGCCGAGAGAAGAGAATCACCAAAGAACCTCAAAGTGCCGGCGGGCAGGGGAGGAGGCTCATGAGCTGGGGCGGAGGACAGGGCATCAGTGGCATGAAAAGTTCTTAGAGCAGGGACGTGAGGCTGTAGGGATTGAGAGAGGTAGGAGGAAAAGAGCCCCGCAGAGGGAACTAAGAGAAGTGGTCTGAAAGGGTAATGGAAGAATTGGAGTTTGCCCTGCAAGATTTTTTGCACTTCCCTGACTGAGGGGCAATCATTGCAGGCTGGAAAACCACCCCTCAGATGAACATAACTGCATGCTCCACAGTTTCATAGCTGAAGGTACTATCCTTAATGCACAGTGTGGAAAAGGGGGCATTCATCTCAGCATTGACCATGACAACCCTCCCTAGCATGAAATAGGAAGAACGATATAACCATCACCGGCCAGCTTTCTCATTTTCGTCTTGGCTGTGAGAACATTCAGGTGTAACATTCATGCTTGGTTATGGTCATTCTTTTGTTCTGGGTCACCGTATGTGTGTCCTTTCTCCCTCTAAAAAGTTTCTTGCCTTTCCTTTCTCTATTTGCCATAAACCATGGCTTATATGTGCTTCTAAAGCTTAACCAGTTTCCCAGTCCCTTGGTAAGTAGTCTGGATTGCATCGGAAGTGGTTATTCTGCTCTACGTCACAGAAACACTCCTCTCATTGACCCCAAGTGTGGCTCCTGTGGAAGGGTTTTTTGGAATTGAAAATTCAGTGATGCGGCTGTCTATGCAGGCTCAAGGCCAAGGACACAGATCCTTCCACCCTCACCCTGCTGGTCCCAATGCCCTCCACATGTCCCCGCCCTGCCCGGATAGTCCCACAGACGCAACACACCTGGGGTGAAGGTGTGCTTGGCATTGACTTCCTCAGATCCAACCCATGTGTCTCTGTGGAATTTTCTGATGCACCCATTTGACAAATATTCATCAAGTGCTTACCAACCGTAAGGCAATTTTCCTGGTAGTTCAGATACGAGGAGAAGTCAAATAGAAAACTAAGATGAACTAAAGCTTTTCACTGAGTTAAAGTGGTCCTTAGCCTATTCAGGAAATATTTTTCCCATCTCACTGTGTGAATGGCACACAGTGGGCACTGGAATCCTTTCCCTTCTCTTAGTTTGCTGCACGGGCTCTACGTCATCTCAGATCCATCCACCCTGAGATAGCTGAAAAACAGCCATGGTCACTGATGCGGTGGGCCCCGATGGCATCAGGAGCCTGCTGCCAAGGTGGACTGCATTTGCTGGCCAGCTGGGGCCGCATAATTTAACCCATAGGCTATGAAGCTCGCCTTTGGGATGATTTTCCCCTTGTCTGTACTGATGATGGTCCCACTGACCTATAATGAGATGAGGATGTTACAGGGAAGGGAGGGGCTGCTGGGCAGGTGGGGGACTGGGGCAGGGGTTGGGACTGAGACTCGAGGTCTGCGGAGAAGGGCATACCCTGCGTGACAGTTTGCCTCCTTACACGCTGCTGACACACCTCAACATCGAGTCAGCCTCCTAAAGTGATGCAAGAGGAAAGGCTGCCCTTTGGCCTCAAGGTCACCCTAGTGACTTAAGGGAGACCACGCCACATGGGCAGAGTGAGAGGATTCCTAGGACTCACATCTATTGCCCTTGCGGGAGGTTGCCAGGCCTTATAGCCAGGCAGTGAGAGGCTGTCTGGTGCAGCTCGTGAACAACTAGAAATGATGCCTCTGTCCCAGAGACTTCTGGGCTCACCACGGAAGGAGTTTACGTGTCCAGTAGTGGCAACTCTTGGAGAAAAGGAAGGAGATCTCTCGGTGGCTGGGATCGGTGGCGTACTCTGACCCAGGTGTAGCCCCAGTGGATCCTTCTAGTGGGCTTCAGTGTCTTCAACATGAAATAAGAGGGTCAGACGTGGCCCTTTCCACGGTGGATTCTGACCCAGCACTGTGCTCCTAGTGGATGGGGCGCCTTTTGCCATGGACTGAACTAGAACCCTTGCGCCCCACAGCCAGCCTCTTCTCCCATCCTCACCCCACAATCAAATATATCCCCTTCGTTTTCCTCCCATCCACATGAAGGAAGGACTCAACACAGGGGAGGGGAAAACCAGCATTGAATTCTCTTCCAAAGCAGCAGAGAGTTCAACAAGGAGCCAAGGAGGGGGCTGAGGAGCACCCCTCTTCAGGCGGGAAACTCACAGACAGCCTGGAAGGAGGATGTGCAGGAGTTGTCATTCCAGAGCCCGTTCTCCTTCAGGAGAGTCACGCAGTCCTCCCCTGAGCCATGGTCATTTGGCTCATCCTTCTTCCAGTTGCTATAGGTCAGCTTCCCACCTGTCACATACATGAACTGGCCTTCAGTTACCTCATCTGTGATGCCCAGGAAGGCAGTGTCTTTGACCACATCCTGGATGGCCTTATTCTCCTCGGCATTCTTGGGGGCAGCCACTGTGGCCTGGAGCCCAGCACACAGAGCCTTCACTTTGGCGAAAGGCATCCGCTCGCCATTGGTCACGAAGAGCTTCTTTCCAGACACTTTCCCCAAGGAGAAGGCTTGCACTGAAATCACAAAGGGTGGGTGAGGCTGACTGGGTTTGGAGCCCAGCCCAGGACAGTAGGCGAGTAGTCCAAGTTCCCTGGGAAGTCAGACCTCTGAAAAATCACCCTGTGCCCAAGCAGCTCAGAACAGAGCCTGAACAGGAAGCAGGGCTCAGCTGCAGAGCCTGGGAAGGGGCGTCCAGGCCCTTGCAGACAGCCCACACTCCCCTGGGATATCCCTCTTTGAAAAAGCATCTGCTAAAATCTGCCCCAGCACAGGTGCACATAGGGAGACAGTCTTGGGCCTCACTGCAGCCTTGGGCGTCAGGATAAGGAAGAGGCAGGGACAGACACCTGAGCACAGTAGAGGCCAAGGAAGGAGCTCAGACTTCAGAGAAGACAGACCTCCATCCAACCTTTCCTCTGCCACTTCCTGGCTGAGTGACATCAAATGAGTCACCAACACTTCCTGTACCTCGGTTTCCTCACTTGTCAATAAAGCAACCTTAACAACCACAACTGAGGTTGCTGAGAGGATTGAATGAAACCCTCTTATGGGAAAATGCCACCCACGACAGGCCCTGGTGTAGGACAAGTGCTCGTAAGTTAGTTCTCCTCCCACCTCCTCCAAACCCACAGTGCTCTGAAGAAAAGAGTGAGAGCCAAGAACACATTATGGGCAGAGAGAAAGCTCACGCTTCTTCACGTGGTCCAGTTCTGATCTCAGGCTCCGTATCTCTCTCTCTAAGTTAGCCAGCTTAGCCTCAGCAACTACAAAGCAATAGGGAGAAGGTATTTATGGAGAAGACCTTAAGTTGGAGAGTGGAGCATTTTGAAAAAACAAAGTGGCTTGCTGAGAAGAATGCTTCTTCCAGAAAAATAAGAAAGCAAAAGAAAAAAAGGGGGGGAAATGACCATATTCCTGCTTCCCAGCTCTATCCCCGCATCCTTCACAACCTAGAATTTCAGCCCTGGACCCCTGTCTCCACATAAGGCTTGCATATTGTCATATTGTGAAAATTCATAAGAAAATACTCAACTCATTACTCTTCCTCTTGAAAATTTTTCTTTGTCATTCATTTTCATTTCTCATTCCAGATACATTTTTAATACCTTCATTATTTTGACAGTGGTAGACAAGTATGAGTAAGTGGGTTGTCATTGTTCTTTTGTTCTTACTGAATTTGCTCTGTTTTACTCTGAACTAAGTTGCTGTGATGTTCTTCACTACCAAGGATTCCTAAAAGGCAGGCCACTTGCCTGCCATTTTTGTGACAATGGACATAAACCCAACCCGCTAAAGGGCCTGTTTCCTCCCTGGCACCCCGGAGGTACACACTGGACTGTTTCTGCTGAAGAAAAGCCAGGGCCCATCTGCTAAGGGGCCTGATGAGGGAATGGCCCTACATGGCTTGAATGTCTGCACCTGCGCACCTATGGGAATCCCCTCAGGCCCCAAGTAAAGCTGAGAGGGCCAAGAGTCAAGGGCCAGGAAGCAGAGTTGAGCATCTTCCCATGAGGCAGCAGGAGAAGGGGACCTCCCAGCTAGCCCTCTAGCTCCCCAGGCCACCCATGCTGAGTTGTGCCCATTACCTGAATTGTCTCCACGATCTCCTTTTTGGCCCTTTGGCCCTGAAATTCCAGGAGGCCCTGTGTTTCCTGGGGGCCCCAACTTCCCAGGAGGGCCCTGCAAACCTCTGAGCCCTTGACCTGTTACAAGACAAAGGAAACATGACCCAGTGGCTGTCATTCATTCTTTTTTCCCCAAAAGCTAAATACTCCATTCATGTTCACCCCAGGACAGCCAGTGAGCTAGAGGTGACTCAAAGAAGCAAGACTCCCCTGCATCCCAGGGGAAGGCCTGCACCAAGGCCAGCTCCCTAAGCAGGCAGGACACCCCCTCTGTAGGGACAACCACACCCCCCCAGGTCCTGTGTGGAAATATGGGATCCAGGAGAGTCAGCGAGCAGCTTTGTTTTGGAGGCAATGGCATTCTACAGGGATTGTTCTGAGTGTAGCATGGGGCCCGAGGAAAGGGGAGCTTCCCCAAGTCTGCGCTGAAACCCTCGTGTGGGGGGTTCAAGCACAGATTTGCTTGAATGCCTGATGGAGGTGGAGATTTAGGAAGCCACAGCAGCCTGTCCCGGACCTGGCTCTCCCTTTTCCCCCTTGGGTCCGTCTCGCCCATCTCTGCCTGGGGTGCCGTTGGTGACGGGGATGCCGCAGGTAATCACGGAGCAGGTCTTCTGGGCATCCTCACAGGTTTTTGTCTCTGAGCAGGAAGCCGTCACCACAGATAGGAGAAGGACAAGGAGTGATGGAAACAGGAACATGGTCCTTACCTTGGGGTGGAGAAAGTGAAAGAGAGAACTTCATCCCATCGTGTTTAAATAGCATTTGCTACTCACTGTGGTGTGCTGGACCCAGTGCCGGGGACAGTGGACACAGAGGGGACCATCACAACCCCTGGCTCTGAGTGGCTTTCAGACTACTAGGGAGACAGGAGGGTAAAAAATGTGAGTTAGATCAGTGCTAAAACAGAGGCAAGTGCAAGATTAACACAAGCCCATTCTCCCTCGGGTCCCAGGGCTCGTGCTAGCACAACGCTTAGCAGTTAAGCACCTCCTACTTGACAGCCCGCAGGGCCCGAGGATTATCCATGAGCCCTGTGTCCAGCAGCCCAGACAAAGGTGAAGCGAGCTCATTGCCTGGGTAAGCTTTGGCCCCTGGATTTCTCAGATTTCTCTCTGATGTGCCAAAAGAGTCATGGTTTCCCTCCTCTTCCTTTCCTATGGGCTGCAGAGCTGGACTCAGACTGGGGCAGGTGACCTGAGGTCCCACAAGGTCCATCTCTTGGCTGGACTTGGTGAGATGGATCCAGTGGTTGAGATCCACTCTCTCGTTTCCAGTATGAGAGCCCTCTCTGTTGCTCAGGCTGGCCTCGAACATGTAGCCTCACCTCCTCAAGCACCAGCACGACTGGCCTGAGCCACCATGGCTCGCCTTCCTCTCATTTCCTATAAAACTCCCTGTTTGACATGCCGGGCCCCAGCTGTCCTCAGAGTGGCCCCTGTTTCTCCAGCCACCTGTAGACCATCTTGCATAATGTCTATTTTGTGACAGTCACTTGCTGTGGGATTAGGACCAAGAGTGCTCTAAGGCAGGATTCTGACCCTCAAAATGGGACTTTTTTGGTGATTGATCCTGTCCAGATGAGACTTCTTTTGGTTTGAGATCTTCCACCGAGAGGCCATTTCTGCTAGGCATCACCCAGGCTCTGAAATTTCTGCTCAGCCTGAGTCTGGAGGAATTCAGCTCCTGCTCCCCCTCCTAGAGGCTGTCCAGATGCCCCCAGCTCTGTGCCCCTACCCAGCTGTCAGAGTTCCTTCCAGCCTTTGTCCAGGCTGGCCCCTCCTTCAGGACCTTGGCAGCCGGGACCCCATGGGACTCTCCCTCTGCTCTGCTGCAGCCTCGAATCCCAGTGTCCTGGTTCTTGCTGCCCAACCCCTGCATCTGCCCTTGCTGTCCCGGCCTCAGTCCCTTAGCCCTTCCCTTCCTCCAGGATGCAGTGAGAGGTACCCAGTTGGAAGGGAACTTTTGTGATCACGTCCTTCTCCAACTTGCCTCTTTTTATCATTTTTGTCTCTTTTTTGAACCTCCCCTGATGGCACTGAATTGGCACTGGATGACACAGCCAAGGCTTGTACCCATAGCTGGCACACATATGCCACTTCTATTCTTCACTTTGGCAAAGACCACCCTTTAGTTTGCTGATGGCCAAGTGGATACAGAAACCTCCCAGTTGCTTGGGCCAGAGAGAAAGAGAGGCCCCAGGTGGACCTGATGACTCCTCTAAACCCCTACCTGGACCTCACCAGGGTCCAGTCAAGAGGCCAGTCTCTTGGCCCAGGCCCTCACCTCTTCCCTCCACAAATAACTTACTAGGGCTTCCTTGGAGACGAGTCAGTGGCAGGGAAGCTGGCCCTCCAGCCCAGGCCTCTGGCAGGTGCCTCAGCGATGTCCAGTCCAGTTATCAGTGTGGTGACCAGGGACAGCGCTGGACTGGTCTTCAATTCCAGATTAATAATCAACCATCCCTAGAACTGCTGTGTGCTGGGAAGCTCTCCAGGTTGCTGGTGGGGCTTCCAGCACAGCACTGGGCAGCTCTTTACATTAGTGCCCTAACCCCTCCTCTACTACCCTTTCTCAGGCATCCATCTCTATGACTCAGTGCCTCTGAGCTTCTAGAGTCACAGGTTCCCAGGGTAGTTTTCTTCGGATATTTATTTTCAGAAGAAAAATGCACAGATCTTCCACCAGACAAATGTATGCACACACACATGTGTACACATCTTTGTATCAGTTGATTAGATTACTTCCATTTGTGTTTTGTTCATTGCAGGGCTGGGGTGGGGAGACTAAAGACCCCTGGCACTGAGTCACCTCTTTCCTCTCTTCTCATTTAGAATGTTTGTCAAGTGTCTTCTTTGGGTATCTCACAGGGCCAGGCACAAGGTGAAGGGGTATTTGCAGCTGACTTCTATCCAAAGCCGAATGTGGGTGCTGGCACCTGCTGCTCCCTCTGTCCAGACATCTCCCTGAATCTTTGCTTATTTGGTTCCATATTGATTGACCACCAATTACCCCACATCAATGTAGAACAAGAAGCTCATGAGAACAGGGGGCTTGTTCCCCAGACGTTGTTTCTCTACCGGGAAGAGTGCCTGAAAAAGATTTGATGCTCAGTAAACATTTATGGAAAAAATGAATCCTCCAGCAGCATGTCCTCAGATCAGCCCTCTTCTCTCTGGCTGGAGCTACCATCTGTGTCCCCTTTACCAGTGATCTAGCTTTTCTAGGGCAGAAGCTGTACTCAGTTCACATCTCTGTCTCCAGGGTGCAACCCAGGGCTGGGCACACAGGAGGATTGGGTGTGAGGGTGAGGAGAGAGGCAGAGACCTCAGGAAGACACCAGATCATCTGTGCTCATCCAAGCCTGAGTTTCCAAAAGTGTCCAGTTCTTGTTGCTAGAGCATGGTCAAGCCGTTCAGGTCCCAGATGTGACCTTTGATGCTTGCTTTCCTCCAAACTCCACCTATTCTTTGAAACACTTCATGTCACCAAACAACTTGAGAGGTTTGTTTTTCCCAGTTGGGGAGTGGGGTGGGTCACTTCTCTGTAACTCTGCCTTGTGATGGGCGTTTGACTTCTCAAGGGTCCTCACCCTTGTGTACCGTGTCATCAGACCCTGTCCAGAGGCCCTCCTGGTTCCCATTCAGGAGGCTTGCCAGACACCAAGAGGGCCTCCATGGTAAAGAAGATCCTTCTCAGGGCTGTGTCTCCTGATGCCATTGACACAATGTTGAAGAGCCCATAGGCCCAGAGGACAAAGGACTTTCAGCTCACACAGCAAATAGGCAGACCTCCCAGGAAGGTGGGAATGTGAATCTGACAGATTTGCATTGAACCAGGATCCTAACTGTGCCACAGACTTAGAGAAAGGGTGGTTTGAGCAGGAAGACGGTAGGTGAGAGGCAAATACACCTGCAAGCAAAGGAACCTGAGAAAGCCTGGGTTCTGGAGGGGACGAGGTTCTCCCCCAAGGGTGTGTACCCAGAGGTCTGTCCTCTCATAGACCTGGGGTGAACTTATGTTGCTATTATGACTATTACTGAATTTTGCTATTTATGCCAAGATGAACAATAGTGTTTCCAGCGTCTCAGCGCGGCCTGATCTTCTGCACTGTGGAGAACGACACCTGCAGATCAGGCACCTCACTGGTGTCTTAGACGGAGGCCAGGCAGATTTGAGTTCACCACGGGACAATTACCAAGCACTGTAGAGGACAAGCAGAGTGAGAGCCGACAGAAATGACAAGCCTCAGAAATAGTATGCACTTCAAAAGAGGGTACAAGAAACAAGAACAGAAAATCAAACGCCGCATGTTCTCACTCATAGGCGGGTGATGAACAATGAGAACACATGGACACAGGGAGGGGAGCATCACACACTGGAGTCTGTTGGGGGTGGCCAAGGGAGGGACAGCGGGGGCGGGTGGGGAGGTTGGGGAGGGATAACATGGGGAGAAATGCCAGAAGTAGGTGATGGGGGATGGAGGCAGCAAACCACATTGCCATGTGTGTACCTATGCAACAATCTTGCATGAGCTGCACATATACTCCAGAACCTAAAGTACAATTAAAAATAAATAAATAAAGGAATAAATGAACATTATAGAATTAAATTAATAAACTAGAATTAAAAAATACATATAGAGCTAATAAAATAGAATACTGGTTCTTTGTATGAGACATAAACTTAGCAAGTATGGTGGTGGTAGTTTGGGTTGTTTCTTCCTTGCCGTAAAATGACATCTCAGGCCCTTTGCCGCAGGACTTTGCAAAGACTCCCACTAGAGTCTAAGGTGTAAACACTCTAGCCCTTTTGCTGTTTGGTGTGGCCATGTGACCATGAGCTGAAAGGATCTGCAGCTTTACATGTGCTTACAGGTTTGATATGGCTTTTGTATTACTTTCCCAATCATGGGAATTATATATCCCTGGAAAGTGATATGGAACAGACATGAACTCGTCTGAAAGTCTGGAGTCCAGCTGACTGCTGCTGGGTAGAGGCCTGCTCAGCTGAAGTCAGCCAAAGCTCAACAAACTGGAAGACTCAGAGCAGGAAATAAAATGTTTACAGTTGTAAGCCCCTGAGAGGAAGATTTACTGTTGTGTAGCTGATTGATACAGTATCAATGATTCATAGAAAATGTATAAGAAATTAACAAATCAGGAAGAAAAAGGGATTATTATACTAAATAGATAATACTGACATTATAAAATTATATCATGTACAGTAGATTGTGCAGCAATACTGCTACAAAATTAGTTAAAATACACAGTTAAAATTGTGTATTTTAACTAATACTAGTTAAAATACACAATATTCTAAGAAAGTTTAGAATTACTTACATTGGCCCACAAAGTGTTAGAATAATGAATATATTATTTTATCACATAAAATACTAAAATGGAAGTCAAAAATTATCAACCATTTATCCATCAACAACATGGTTTTAAGATGAGTTGTATTAAATCTTCAGAGAAGAGATAATTTCTCTGTTATAGAAATTGTTTGTATCCAAAAGTTCTTGGCTAAAATGATTAGCTGAATATATAACTCAGAATGCATAAGGACAGAAAAAAAGAAAGGCACTCTCAGCCAACCTAATCTGTGAGTACAGGTGCAAAATTTTTACACAATGTAAAAAAAGTAGCTCTTAAGTCCAGCAATGTATTCATGGTTAATAGCAGTCTTTGGAATCTGATTTCCTATGTTCATATTAGCTGTATAATATTTGACAAATCACTTTGACCTTTATATACCTTGATATTCTCATTTGTAAATTTGAAAGAATGATAGCATCTATAAATAAGATTAATGAGGATTACATGAGTTAATACTAGTGCCCGGTCCATAGTCTGTGTAACGAGCATATTTAACATCAGACCAAGTAGAGTATAACAGAATAATGCAAGGATGGTTCAACATCAAACAATAAATCAATGTAAATCACTAATTTAATAGAGAGCAGGTTTTATTAAGAGCATAAATTCAATCTCTTAGATCTTGGAGCTTGAAGCTCACTTGTTCTCAAAACTGATATGTAGTCTCAAAACTGTTTTGTCATTGATGGGCATTTGGGTTGATTCCATGTCCTTGCTATTGTAAGTAGTGCTGCAACAAACATTCACATGCATGTGTCTGTATGGTAGAATGATTTATATTCCTTTGGGTATATACCCAGTAATGAGATTGCCGGGTCAAATGGTAGTTCTGTTTTTGGCTCTTTAACGAACTGCCACACTATTTTTTACAACAACTGAACTAATTTACACTCTATCCAACAGTGTATGAGTATTCCCTTTTCTCTGCAACCTCATCAGCAACTCTTATTTAAAAAATTTTTAATAATAGTTATTCTGACTGGTGTGAGATGTTTTTTCATTTTGGTTTTGATCTGTATTTTTTAAATAATAAGTGATGCTGAGTTTTTTTCATATACTCATTGGCTGCACATATGTCTTCTTTTGGAAAGTGTCTGTTCAAGTTCTTTGCTCAGTTTTTAATTTTTTTCTTATGAATTTGCTTGTTTCTATAGATGCTGGATATTAGATTTTTGTCACATGTATAGCTTGAACATATTTTCTCCCATTCTGTATGTTGTTTGTTTACTCTGTTGGTAGTTTCTTTTGCTGTGCAGAAGCTCTTAAGTTTAATTTGATCTTATTTGTCAATTTTTTGCATTCATTGCGATTGCTTTTGGTATGTTTGTTATGGAAACCTTTGCCTGCTCCTATGTCCAGAATGGTATTGCCTAGGTTGTCTTCCATGGTTTTCATAGTTTGGGGTTTTACATTTAAGACTTTAATCCATCTTGAGTTGATTTTTGTATATGGTATTTAAAAAAGGGGGTCCAGTTTCAATCTTCTGCACATGGCTGGCCAGTTATTCCAGTACAATTTATTGAATAGGAAGTTCTTTACCCAGTGCTTGTTTTTTTCAACTTTGTTGAGAATCAGATGGTTGTAGTAGTGCAGCCTTATTTCTGGGCTCTCTATTCCATTCCCTTGGTCTATGCGTCTGTTTTTGTACTAGTACCATGCTGTTTTGGTTACTGCAGCCTTGTGGAATAGTTTGAGGTTTGGATAATGTGATGCCTCCAACTTTGTTCTCTTTTTTGGTTCCATTTGAATTTTTAAATAGTGTTTGACAGTTGTGTGAAGAATGTTACTGTTAGTTTGATACGAATAGCATTGAATCTGTAAAATGCTTTGGGCAGTATGGCTATTTCAATAGTATTGATTCTTTGTACCCAGGAGCATGGGATTTTTAAAAATTTGTTTGTGCCATCTGTGATTTCTTTGAGCAGAGTTTTGTCATTCTCATTGTAGAGATTTTTCACTTCCCCGGTTAGCTGTATTGTTAGGTATTTTATTCTTTTTGTGGCAATTGTGAATGGGATTGCATTTCTAATTTGGCTCT